CCTGAACAGATGGTGCGATGGCAGACTGTCTGATGCATCTTGTAAGCCCTGTTGTACCTGCAGTGGAAAGATGTGGCCCCAGACAAAATTCAAGTTTTGTCAGTTTGAAGTAAATAAATTTATGTTGCAAGAACTCATAATAATTTCTATGTTCTAATTGGTTTTGTTATCTATGATGTAAAACCCCTGAGCCTTCTCCACCAGTTAATCCAGCACAAAATGTGACCAACTCACATGGAAAGCAGTTTATACTTACATTTTATCTGGCAAAGACATGTTCAAAATGACAAAAAAAGAAGTAACTCATGGAGTTCAGCTTGTTAACTGTCTTTTATATAACTTATTATTTGCAAAAAAATTAACATAAAGACCAATTTGAAGGTAATAGCAGTGATCCTACTGTGTGCTCAATTTTAAGTTGGATTTTTGTGAAGGAAAAAAAAAAAACTAGACCGTTTAGTGTCGTCCTGAGAAATAAGACACTGTTGACAGATCAACTGAAAAGCTGTGATGGCTGTGAATAGTGAGCTGTACTTGCCTCAGGCATATTTTACAGTGGTAAAGTTGCAACGTTCTGTGAAATTAATTTAGTCAAAGGCCATTTAAATTTGCCCTGAGAGGGTTTTTATTAACACCCTCACACTGTCACAACACATTAACACATTGGAGTTGCCCTGTTCTACCACTGTGTTGTGGCTCATTGAGCAATGAGAGGAAGGTATTTTGTGTGCACACATTTTCCTCAATATGACAATGACACCAGTCTACTTCTGTATCATAAACCTGTTTCTGTGACTTCTTCGGTACCTGCCAGCTATTGTTATGGGTCCAGTTTTAGATATTATCTGTAAATTAGATTTTGATGTGACATAATGATTAAAATGGTGTAACCACTTTCAGTGAGGAGGGGGATGTGTTCTTGCTTGTAAAGGTGCAAAACGTTCATTTAAAAAATGCTGTATTTTTCCGTTTGTGAGGAAGACCACAAAATATTTGTATCTGCGCCTTCATGTACACTTGCCTGTAGTAGGGACAGAGAGAAATGTGTGGGGAATACCCCTTGGAGCCTTTCCAACACATGAAATTCCCCTGCAGCTCTTTCACTGTCTCCAGTGTCCTCCTCTCACAAGGAAACGACTCCACCTGGCAGCCTGGAGAGGAGATCAGGAGGATTGAAATGGGTCTTAGAAAGAGAAGGAGAGTGGACAGTGGACAGGAATAGAAAAGAGAGGCAACACAAAGCAGGGATTTCAGAGAGGGAGGCAATAAAATAGACAACTAAGATGATTTTAAGATTTTCTTCTTTTCAGACACAAAATAATATTAAGATTCCTTTAGTCTACATTTCAATATTTTTACATCATTTATATCCAGCAACACCAGTCTAATTATGTCAATGCAAGTAGACAAGTGAATTAGCAGTTGAAGCTGCCATGATTGCCTCCTATAAGGTCAGTGGACTCCCACCTGCAGGAGTGGCACTGCAAACAGAGGTGGTGGTCAATGTGGTGTAGAGGCCATTGACAGCGTCGTTGACATGCTCGGCGAAGAAGACATGGCTCTCCACTGGCTCACTGGCCAGAGCATGAAGCTCCTCCCACCTGATGAGAGAAACTATTCAAACTAAAAATTTATTGGTCTATTTTGTCCGTTCCACTTATAAAGGTTTCCTCTTCCTAAAATATTCATTGCCATCACAAAGATGGATTATTGTGCTAATCATCCTTTGATAATCAGTTCCTAACCATCAAACACACCTGGGGTAGTGAAGGCCCACAGCAAACAAGACAATGCCCGTCTCTTTGAGCTGTGCTGCCACCTGCACCGTGTTGCCCTGGGACCTCCCGTCTGATAAGAGGATGGCGACGCGGGCCACTGCGGAAGAGCTACGCCCACCTGGGAAACCCTTCCTCAGGATGTACTTGAGAGCCAGGCCTGTTTGGGTGCTGCCTCCTCTGCAAGTTTAGAGCTCGTTAGGTATTGTGGTTTTTTTATGTTACTACTAGAACAACACTAGAGAGCAATTAGATAAACATCTATTGTACTAAAGAAGCCAGCAGAGTAAAAGTCTACTGGATATCACTGCCAAAGTAAACCACAAATTATATTTATTAGGATTCCTCTTTTAGTTTTTGGACTTAAAATATATGAAGACATCTCTAGAGTGCTGGTTACGTTTCATCAGCCAGGGGTACAAGAAAGCAATTTAAAACCTATTAAGACAAACAAAGACACAAATATCATTCAGAGCAGGAAACGCTGTCAGTCTTCTCACAAGACAGTATGAAACACAGTCATGTCCACATGAGGACGGAAGTACCGAAACAAAGCAGCGCAGATAGTAATGTGCTTAGGTGCCATCCTGTCACATGTCCTTTTTTGTCCCTTTTTTCAGCTGTAAAAACAATGCTGTGTCTGCTTAGAGGACTGGAGCCACAAGATGAAACAGGAAAAACCACAAAGAGGCCTTTTTTTAGCAATGACGTGCAGACATGTTTACAATCCTTATTCCTTTTAAAACTTGTTGTTACAGTCTTTGTGTATCCATCTTTTTCTAAAGGCTCAGCCTAAATCCATGAAAAAGCAACTTCATGTAATACTCACCAGTATTACAAGAATAAACCTTCACCTACAGTTTATGGCTACACTTGAACTCTCTGAAGTCCAGGTTTAATATGAGGCAATGTGACAGTTAAGTTTAAAACATGGGTAACCATTTCAAATCAGATGGACTCCAGAAAACAAGAAAAACAAGGCCACACACACCCACACACACACACCCACACCCACACCCCCACACACCCACCCCCACACACCAGTTCCCTTCCTTTTCTTCAGCTGATACACTTATCCAGTATCCAGTGACCACCTGTGGTGTGCCTCTAATCTGAAATTAATTTGTTTCCTTTCTTGGGGACATTTGGTTGAACTGAGCCTTTGCAGGTATGTGTGTATGTGTGTGTGTGTGTGTGTCTGTTTTGCTTCAGCATAGGTTTTAACTAAATCCAGTCTAGATCATTTAATTTAAACGTATTTTTAAATATTGTATCAATTGTATTAACTCTCCATTTTGCCATTACTGCCAACTCATTCAATCTGGTTACGGCCCTGAATCTAGACTATGGATACCCGAGTTGAACCTGACGCACCCCAACAGTACTCAAGTGTTCAGGCCACGTTCAAACAGAAATTTAGAAATGTTGTTGTTTTGTTAAATGATATAGGGAAAAACACTGTACAAACTGTGCTGGGTTCAGATGCCACACTCTCAGGCACAGGTCGGGTTCAGACAGAAATATGTGGCTGGATCTATGTTGTACCTGAAACTACACTGGAGAAATGTGACAAGTTTTACCAAAAATATGCAAACATGAAAGTTCTCTTCTCAACAAATGGCCTATTTTTACAGACACTAAATTCAGTTGCATGTACTGCCACCCTACCATCCAGTCAGAATCACACTATAACAGTCTTTTGCCTCTCAAAACAATATTTGACTGAGAATGCGATCAGAACAGAAACGTACCTGTAAGATATGTTCTTTATGTGCTTCTTTAACTCTTGTTTGGTCGTGTACGAGTCCAGGGCGAACTCCAGCCAAGGAGTGGAGCCAAACTGAATCAAACCAACTCGTACCTGATCAAGGGCAAAATTATACGAGTACTGACTGACGTGAGAGAAAGAGGAGCTGAGAGAGAGAGAGAGAACGATGAGAACAAAAAGTGAACAAACCTTCTCTGGTCGTACATCTAGTGCTTGACAGAGCTTGATAACATAATGTTTGGCCCTCTCGAAACTGCCCTTCCCCACACTGTAAGAGCCATCCATGAGGAAGAGGACATCTATGGCTGCTGAGCACTGCATCACTTCCATGGAGAAACCCACACACACACACAGAATAAAATGTTAAACTTGCTGGACATCTAGGTAAAGATGCAGGTCAACATTCATTCATAGTCTTTGCTCCATTCCTGACAACTGCTCCAGTTCTTTTATTGTATAACCCTGGTTAGTTACCACTGGGCTGCTGTAAGTGAAAATATCTTGATATTATAGAAGAGAAAGCGCTTACTGTGCCAGAGTGAAATGTTCTCTTCCCAGGAGCACACTGACAGAATCATTACAAAGCTTCCTCTCACATGCATGCTTGTACTCGCTAGTGGCATAAATAATCTGTGGGGTTGCTTTCATGTTAGAAGGTGATGATGGTGAACAGGGCCATGAGGGAGAGGGAGTGCGCCATCTGTTTGTCTGCCATTTACTGTTTGTGTGAACATCCAGAGACAACATGCTAATAAGACTTCTCACCACCGCCATATATACACTACTTCATAATTATACATATACTACTGTATAACTTAAACCTCAGAGTACTTCACCATGTTTATGTCACTGTAACCTATACGCACTGTGCTATAACGTCTACAGTAACAGCTGTGTGGCTTTTACCTCACTGCTAACATTACTGTATGTATCATGCGTGCAGGTGCACAGCACCTCCATGATAACCTAACACGTCTCCCTGTCATACTGTTGATACTCAGGTCAGTGCCATTTGCTGTCACAGCTCCTTGCACCACCTCAACCTCCTTGAGTTGCTGGTATTTAGTTTATTATGTATTCACATACGTTTTTTAGCAATGTGTTATAAGTGGTAAAGTCCTCTGACTGAACTTTATTGTGCTACACTAAACCAGCGTATCATTTTGACATTTTCAATATAGCTTCTGTGCAATACTCACTTTCTCCTGCTGACTGTATCTTTACAATGTTCTCATGGCTGGTTTGGAGCTCCTGCACTGAGGCACCTTGCCGGACTACAGGGAACAAACGTCACAGAGGTCAGTCAAATGTCCACACATACACCAATCAATTTCTTTTCCTGTTTCCAACACATCATCTTCGAGGACTGAATGTTCACTTTCTGCCCAATATACCCCACACACTGACAGGTGCCATTTTAACAGGATAGTCAGTGCTATTCACTTCACCTGTCAGTGGTCATAATGTTATGGCTAAATGGTTTATGTACAGGCATGCACACAGTATTGTGGACATGCATGGGGCAAACATGTGGCATTCAGACACAGTGGCAGGTTAACTAATGCAAGGAAATACATGCATTTTGACTGCAAATTTGAACGAGTTACAAAACACATACCTTTGTAACTAAAGTATGCATTTCAGATTAGCTAAAGATACATTAAGAAACATACTCTGGCCTGTGGATTGGATCTATTAAGTGCCACTCAAAAACATTAATCTTGGGTAATTTAAAATAAAACAACAAATGAGATGCTGCTCTTGAAGGCAACGCCGTTCAGTGACTCCAATTTGACCCCTTCTGCGATGGATAATTGAGAATTCATTGGTTCTATTAGCTGAAAGGATGTGGCTCCATTCAGGAACACACATACAGCCCAGAGAGAGGGACATTTGATTTCCTGTTCAGAAACCCGTGTGAGCCTGCCTTGTTATTCCCCGATGAGTCATAAAGGCATTGTGCAGCACAGAGACGACGCCTGAGTGATTTAATAAGCACTCATCTCCACTCTCTAAACAGCATCCGTCCTTTTCAAATAGAATACAGATAGAAGTTGTCAGTTTGTTTCGTTCCTGTCCATTTTGCTGTAATGTTTCAGCCTGCCCACCTTGTGTGGATTTAGTGACAGGTAATTAGCTGAAATAGGTGATACATCTTGCAATGTATTCATTTGTCAAAAGAGAACAACAACTAAGGACAAAAACATCAAAGAAAGGTTCCATGTACAGGAGTTCAGAAGAAATAAGGGCATGTCAGCACCAGAAACTTCAGTACTGACATCGACGTTGTCCTCTGTGGGGTGAGTCAGGGATATAGAGTCTAGCACAGGTAATAATGTTTTTGGGGAAAGAAGTGTCACTGTAACCCATTTTATCTGGGACCAAAATGACAGTGATGACACTACAGAATTAAAAATATCAGCTGATATTTAACTGATGCTACTTTTCATGATAATCCAGTGGTTTGTGCCGTACTATATAGAATCGGGGCTTTCCATCGTACAAACAAATCCAGCATTTTACCAAACTGGAACTAACTTGTATTATCTATGACTAAATGACATCCATGACATCTGAGCCTTTATACCATAATCAGTTTATGGGTGGAAATGGCACAATCTGCAAGAGGTCAGGAAAAGGTTCAAGTGTATAAAACAAACAAACAAACAAATAAACAAACTTATCATTAAAGAAAAGTACCATTTGTAACTCAGAGGTGTACGCTCTGACCTCTTAGTCCTGACCCTTTCATCTGTCCCTAGTTCCAACGTCATTCTCGACCTGAAGTCCTTCTGACAGTGAAAGTTTTGGGTCAAGCTGCTTTCTCATGATCAGTTTAACAGAAAGCAAAATGACTGTGCATCTGGACTATGAATGAAAACATAGCAGGAAAACGAGGAGCAAGATAATGAGGAAGAATTCTCAGGGTGGTGAGCAGCTCCCTAATTGGCATTAATCCCAAAATAGCCTAAGAGATACATAAAATTAGGATCGGCTTCTACCTTTCTGTAAAACTGTGTACGTCTGGCTGGATTACAGTGATATCTAGCTGGTGAAGTGCCTCAACATGTCAGCTGTGTTGTCAGCAAAGGAGGAAAAGGAGGCGTTTTGTGAAACAGCCTGGTTTGGTCAAGTTCAGTCTAAAAATGGGCAGTAATAAATACCACAGATGGTGTTAAGGCTGTCATTTTTGAAAACAACTTCAATATATTGTCCCACAACACCCGCCTCTCCCCTCAGGCAAATACCAATATTCCTGGGTTGAAGAGAACAACTGACACGCAATAAAAGCAATGCACAATCTGACTTGCCTGAAAACAAGCAGTTTAAGCACAGGAGGCAGGAAATCACTGAGGAGAGGATGATGGGAATTCTTCAGCACTGGAGACTTTAAGCAGTAAAATATCATGTAAAGAATCCAGTGGTGGAAGACATACTCTGTTTTTTGTTACTTAAAAGTATCAATACTACAGTGTAGATGTATTCTGTTACAAGATCCTGAATTCAGAATTTTGCTTATGTAAAAATACAAATGTATTAGCATCAAAATATACTTGAAATAGCAAAAAATACTCCTGCGCATTTCACATGAATGTATATTATTGGATTATAATTATTAATGAATTATTGTGTTCATCACTTTAGTCTTGCTGCAGGTAAAGGTGGAACTAATGTTTAATACCTTATATACCTGAAGTTTGAAGTACTTTACATACCCAGGGCACACTCTGCAAATGATTGGAAAGACCAGAATATTTGTAATATGATGTAGGCAGATTAAAAACATTTCAAAACAGTATGTAAAAGCATCTTTGATCCAAAAGTTCTAAATACAACAAAAATTCTGAAGGCATTGAAAGGAACAGCACACCAGTTACACAAACAATAAACTGACCTTGAAGCAGCAGCAGTGTGAAGAAAAGAGAGAGATGGATATCAGGGTGCATGTTGAGACACCTGGAATGATCAACAAAAGCAAATGCTTATTGAAAAAAAATGTGAGACAAGGTGTGTACAGCAGTGGTTTTCTGTCTTGTGACCCCTTAAAATAAAGCTGTGTGCATCTGTGACCCTCTTTCCAGAGCTTATGGCATCAGTGTGGACATGAAAGTGAGTTTTCATTCAGACAGTTTCATTTCTAAGCCCATTACCAACCTTGTGATCCTTCAGATTTTACCTTGGCACTCCTTGGGAGTCCAGACCTGACTGCCTGATTGGGAACCACCAGGAGAAATGTTTATTCACAGGACAAAGGTAAGTACAGTGCAGTGACCCTTCCCTCTAAGGGGACAGCTGAACCCAAACCATGCCAATAAAATGCCTTCCGCAGCGTAACAGAGCCACTGCATCCCCCCATTGCAGGAGTCAAGCATTGAGGTTTCTCCTTAGTCTCACATCTGTATGAACAGTGAAATCATTACCTGAGAGGTTGGCAGCCAGGATAAGGCTTAATACTGAAGGGGCGTGTGGACAAAAAGTCCCCTGATGAAAACATCCCCTTTCAAAATTCAGTCTTTCAAGCAGTCAGCCACTGAAAAAGTATTAGTGAAGGATTATCTTTGTCAGTTGTCTCTAATTTAATTACCCTCTGGGCTCCGCTTATGCCTAGTCAGGACTTTTCTGCCTTCCAAACCCAGTGCACTTAATATTACAGCTCTAATCTAATGCCACCCAGCAGTTCTCCAATAAATCCCCCTCGGTTAAACCTTTACAAAGCCACATGCCATCTGTCAACTCATTGCTAGGTCCACATGAGATGTTATGGGGCTGCAGATAAGGTTTGATTAACTCTCAGCCATAATACCCTGCCTGTGTCTGTGTGTGTTTGGGTGGGATAAAGAAACGTAAAGGGATGAAGAGAGAACCCTCGATTATGTCTAAGGCTGTGTGTATTTCTAGGACAGAAACAGAATTATGTGCAGGATGGAGCCGCTTTGATTGTGTGCACTGCGCACACATACACTTAGGTGTATGAGCAGTCATGCATGCCTATATGAAACACACACACCTGTCTCAAAATTGGCTGCTTCTTCACAAGCATTCTTCTGGATGCCCCAAGCGGCTCATTTTCTGCCTGAAAGCTGGGCTCCAGCTATGCTTAACACTTAGACTACCTTCCTTCAGTATCCCATCTTGCTACAAGGACCTAAAACATGCAACTGTCTCTTAGGAGGTAAAGCGTTTGACGTTTCTGACGCGGGTGAAATAAGTTAAGTCTATTTGTCTTACAGCAATAAAAATTAACTGAAAGAGATTCCTAAAAATACTAAAAAGCTGGGGCTTTCATATTGAAAAAAGACAACCCGTGTCATTTATGTGCTGGTCATCCTGAACTGGTCAGGTTGGAAGTGACCTTCAATCTAGTCCATAATTAATAAATTAAAAGTAAATTATAATTCAAAATGTGTTGCTGCACATTTAACCATGGGAATATGTGAGAAAGTTGGAGACCACACAATATATAGTCTCAGTCTCAGTCTGGGTTAATTAATGCCAAGCTGCTAACCAAACAACGTAACCTAATGAAATGCCACACGAGTTAAGTTCTCAACAGCCCCGGTTTCTGACACCAGGTCAACTTGAGCTACCATTTCGGGGCGAAAACATCCATGTCCGTATTTCTAGCAACCTAAACCCCCTCCCAACATCTGGCCACGCTTAAATTTGGTCAAGGGTCAAAGCCAGATGGGGTCAGAGGTTAAAACCCGGACATGCAACAGTATCCGAGATCTACTGAAGTAGGTACACGGAATTCAAGGCACGTCTTAAGTGACATGCCCATAAACACCGCAGTTGGTATGAATTCCCGCAGCCTTCATATTGACTTATAAAACGTCTAACCTAATTAATAATTGTTACTTTTGTCTTTTAATTCGGCCATATTAAATATGCAATGCAGCACACCGGACAGCGTATTTCATTTCCTTACCACTTGCGAAACAAATGCGTTGCTTCTTTATAGTTTCCAAAACTATTGGCTACTGCAGGTTGCACCTATTTCGTTAGTTCTCCAGTCAAAAATGTTAAACTCGTTAATAAATAGCACATCCACAGACGTGACATGTCGCCTTACATCAGAGTCCAGCCGCAGACAACAAAAAGACACACCAGCTTCTCCGCGATTGCTGACACAGTATTTTCTTACCATATGACAATGTTTGTTTTCGGTGCGTCTTTCCCCAAGCGGTCCTCTCCGTCTTGGTTTCCGTACTGGTCTGAGGAGAGCTTCCTTCTCCGGACAGGAGAGCAGCGAGCCCACCTCCTCGCCATGCCCAGCTCTGATACACCTTCTAATCTGTCTTCTCACCAGACACAGGTTACATATGGACACAGGTAGGGACGGAGGCTCATCATGAACCCTTTGATTGTTCAGATACATGAGGAGAAACTAATCCACAGCACGTCCGCTTTGCATTGTTGCTCCGTGTAGAAGAAAAATAAATTAGGACAAAGTAAAACCGCATTACTGCATTTATTTTTTTTGTTTTGGCGCAGAAAATAGGCAACAAAGTCTGGTTACACATCTCACCTGAACAGGTGACTGAACAAAACAAACATCTGCACAGCACACTCACTGGACAAAAACACTTGGATAACTGAGGCTGAATATCTCTTCATTGATATTTCTGCCAACTTTAACCTAAATGGGGCGTTCCGTTTTTTCCCCAGAAAAACCTAGATTGACTCGAACACAATCCCAGATTAAAACCAGAATTGAACACTGAACAGAATACACAATAAGTGATCAACAAAATTAAGTCAAAGCTGGACGGCAGGTCCTGGAGACTACAGAGACGGTTCACGTTTTAGACAAACATGGCCCAGAAAAACAAGTTAAACTACAAACTACTAACTTGAGTTCAACAATTTAACCAAACTACAGAAGTAGTTCATCTTATTTTGTCTGTTCCACTAAATGCGTGATAAGAGTAAGCTGCAGCTTCATCATCTCTTCCAGGTGATCAATCTGTGAAAAGCAAGAGAAAATCAATTTCTCAACAAGTGTGGAATAACAATAAATGTACAAGTTGGCCATTAACCCCTGGGCATACACACAGACTTAAAAAAAATGGTCTGTTCAAATGAAATAAGTTCCAAGATGCTTTCCAGCTCTGACCTTTGTCTGGCACAGACAGCAGCAGCTGATGGATTGAGGCCCTAGGATTCAAACAGAAAGCCTGTGAATGTTAAGACACCTTTAAAAGTCACAACATAATCCTATCACAAGAAAGCATGAAATCCAATAACATTCCAAAACCAGTTCGTTTAGGAAGGGAGGGGTCAGGTTCTGATTTAAATCATACACACCATTAGTCACATTATTCTGTGACAGTGGCTCCATTTGGGGAATCTTCTTGTCCGAATCCTCTGAAAAACAAAATGACAATCACAGTTTCTTTATGACAGTTACTGTAACCTCAAACTAGTCAGTATTAATGACCTGAATCAATCAATGATGAAATGTCTATTTGCGGCTCTTCTTTCACATAATATGAATCTAATTAAGCACAAAGCAAAATTATGCATACCACAGATTATAGGTTAGAATATTTGAGTGGATTATACAATAAAAAGAAAAAGGCAAATGAATTATTAGAAAGAAAAAAAAACCACACTGAATTATGACTTGACCAACCACTGGCTGCCAGTGCATAAGTGTCTTCATTCTGCTGGGGAGTCTGGGGGGTTGGCTCCGGTGCAGCTGTAATGCTAGCAGGAGGTGTGCAGCTGTCAGCCTGGTTGGCCCTCTGGGTGGTGGCAGGACAAAGATTACTCTGGGTCTGGGCTTGTAGTGCATCCAAGATCATGGGGGTGAGGTGGCCCCCACCTCTCTCAGTGGGCAGAGTGAGTGAGAGCACATTAGCAAAGCCATCGAAGGACTGGACGGTGGCAAGAACACCACTCAGCAGGATGCTTTGAAACATCTGCTGCACTTCCTCTGGCCACTCTGCAGGAAAGTGCTCCTTACCTAGGGATCGAAGAGACGGGGCTGAGGAATGTATGAAGGAGTAAAATACTGCTGCCCAAAATAACCTATCACTTGTGGTCCTATATGAAATTATTTCAGAAATAAAAAGGTTTCATTACCAGAGAGGGTGCAGCGAATGATCTGAAATGGGAAATGCAGCAGGCGCATGGGGATAGGCAATATTCGGGACAGTGGCACCTTTTCAGTGTTGCCATAATCTGCATAAATGACACTCATCTCATTCTCAGCTGCTTCCAGGACCACTGCACGGTACCAGCTATTGTCAGCTGGGGAAAGAAAAAAGTTTTTATTACAAATAGAACTGTTGGAAAGAAATGAGCAAATGTTTAAGGCAAATAAATCCACACAATGAATCAAAATTCTTTAAGTTGTAAATATTCGTCTTAAATGCATCTTTTAACAGATAAGAGCCTGTTGCAGACATGGATACAGAGCAGTTGTGGTTTCATCAATCTGTCACGTCAATTTATTTATAAAGCACACTTAAAACCAACAGTAGACCAAGCTGCTGCACATAGCAGGGTACACTAAACGAGACAACACAGTAAAATAATAAAACAAGATCATGATGGAATGATCAGAGGAGATAATCAAGGGTCAATAAACTACTGGGCTGGGCCAAATACTAGTGTATAAAAATTGATCAAAGAAAAAGACTTGAAGGCAACCAGAGAAGGGGCCAGTTTAACATGAAGAGTTAAGTCGTTCCAAAGTCTCAGGCCTATAATAGAAAAGGTCAGATCGCCTCTACATTTTTTTTCCTTGAAACAGGGACAACCAGAAGTGAGTTGTTGATGGATATGAAGGCTCCGGTCGGGCAGTAGGGTTTGAGAAGCTAGGGGCTAAACCATTCAGAGCTTTGAAAACCATCAAGAGGATTTTAAACTGTATCCTGTAGGACATGGGTAACCAGTGGAGGGAGGCCAAAACAGGGGTGATATGCTCCCTCTTACAAGTACGGGTCAAAAATCAAGCAGCTTTTAGACAAACTGGAGGCAGTTTAATGATGAATAGGGGACACTGATGTAACCAAGATGACTGGAGATGAAGGCATGGGTCAGCTTTTTGAGGATGCTCCTGTGTAGGAAAGATTTAACTCTAGTCCGCAGCCGCAACTGAATGAAATACTGACCACGGACTTATTTGTTTGTCCAGTTTCAAATCTCTAAAACCTGAGGTTTGTTATGGATAAACAGTCGGCTTGGTAAGAGGTGCAAGAGAGCCCCAGTTCAGACAGCTAAAGAGATGCTTTCTGTCATTCAGATGTAGGTCACTTCTATGTTTACATTCCTCTCTACATTCAGACATAGCCACGACCATGACACAGAAAACCACAGTACATCTACGATATCTGAATTACACACACGGTCATTGTAATTTGTCTCTCTCTCTTAATGTGACTGCATGCAACTCAAACTTGTGCTGTGTTGAAAGTCTGACCCAAGGCTGCAGTCACCACTTTTACAGACTGTGTTTAACAGAGACAGCACTGAAAAAGCAAATAAAAAAAAAAAAAAAAAAAAAAAGCCCGTTTCTAGCAGAGCTGTATACTGTGTTTTAAGAATCGGTGCTATGCTTGACAGCATACACGCTGGGTAATTATATCTAGTGGCAGACACCAAATTACCAGCTTAGGTCTGCAATGACAGCAACTGCAGGTGGGGTCTCACTACAATCAGGGAGCAAACATAATAACTGGATGGGAGAATGAGAGAAGAGGGCCCGGCTTTGTGTGTGTGTGCACCGCTGAGTGGAAAAGTTCATTGATGCTTGGGTGGTCTGTCTGCATAGGTCTATTATGCATGGCTATATCTAAATGTGCATGTATTACTTTGTTCTGATCTTTACCACATCCATCCCTTTTCCTCTGCTTATCCGGAACCAGGTCACGGGGGCAGCAGTCTAAGCAAAGATGCCCAGACTTCCCTCTCTCCAGACACTTCCTCCAGCTCCTTCGGCCGAGGTGTTCCCAAGCCAGCCAAGAGACATAGTCCCTCCAGCGTGTCCTGGGTCTTCCCTGGGGCCTCCTCCCGGTGGGACATGCCCGGAACACCTCCCTAGGAAGGCGCCCAGGAGGCATCCGAAACAGATGCCCGAGCCACCTTAGCTGGCTCCTCTCGATATGGAGGAGCAGCGGTTCTACTCTGAGCTCCTCCAGGGTGACCAAGCTCCTCACCCTATCTCTAAGGGTGCGCCCGGCCACCCTGCGGAGGAAGCTCATTTCGGCCATCTGTATCCAGGATCTTGCCCTTTCGGTCATGACCCAAACCTCATGACCATAGGTGAGAGTAGAAACATAGATCGACCAGTAAATCGAGAGCTTCGCCTTACAGCTCAGCTCCTTTTTCACCACGACGGACCGGTACATCGACCGCATTATTGCACTGATCTGCTGTCAGTCTCCCATTCCATCCTTCCCTCACTCAATCTTTAACACTTATAACAAAATAGTGCTTAATATCATGTTGGGATGAAAATTACTTATTTGTAATTTACCTGTCTGGATAGCTAGTGGCTTTAAGGGGTCATAGAACACACAATGAAAAACAATTCATGTCTACAGCAGTATGCAGGGCTGTGCAACTTCTGTCCCTGTGGTCTTGTCCCTCTTATTATGCTCACTACTTAACGGAATAGCAGTGTGTGTTACAGTTTAGGGACAAACACTTTTATTTTACAATGTGACAGAAAGACCACAATTTAAAATGAATCTCTGGACTTTTCTGGTGTATGTATTTAATGAATAATAAAAGTGTTTCTCACCAGAGTACTGGGCACAACATGCAGCCCCAGGAGCTGGTCTGCTCAGGACAGCAGATGATGAAGAGGCACTGTTGTTGCTGCAGTAGACAGCCACCTCCATCATCACCTCCAGAAGCTTTTGCTGGACTGCACATAAACACACAGTGATTATTACAGGACACAGAAACAGATTTCCACCATTTGTGCATCTTCTTATGGTAGACAGGAACATGGGTGTTCCTACCCTGGCTGGGAACAAACAGGTAGAAGAGGGAAGGACTAGTGACAGCTGCGATGTATGGCTTAAAGCTTTCACTGAGAGGCAGCTCCACTGTCTTCCAGTCCACTGGGAAAGAAGGGACTGAAACAAGAGTACAACATTTCAATCAGGATCCTAAAATCATCAGTCTCAGTATTTTATCTTGAGATCAGCACTGAAGCTGACCTTCTGATGGTGATGCAGCTAGCTGTTCAGTTGGCATCTCTTTGGAACTGGCTCCTGTCTGGTTGGAGGCTTGTGGCTGTATTTGGCTGAGTTCATTGTCCTTTGCACTCTCTGGGTATTTGGCTCGACAGGCTGTGGTTTCCTGGGTCTCTTTGGATATCTCTCTAGGAACTTTGGCTAACTGCTCAGATATGAGGGCAGCGGCCACATTCTGTCCTCGGCTCTCCAGCTCCACACCATAGCCCTGTTCAGTGATAGAAAGGACTCGTGCAGAAAGCTGCCTGCCAAGCACCAGAGTCTGGAACCACACCACCGCTTCACTGCTCCACTCTGAACCCAGGGGCTCCACACCTGAATCCAAACAGAAAAGAAATACTCTGATAGCAATCATCACTTTATTCAATGTCCCAAAAATACCAGATTATGACCTCACATTCTTGAATATCACAGATGACTTTTGATCTTTGCCAAGTATTTAATGTGAGGCCATATTTGAAGAGGATAGAAAATCCCCAAGTAAAGAAAATTGAGACTTTTGGCTTCCAAATAAAAAAATAATTGCTTTGGAACAATTACATACATTTCATATTTATTTAGATAAAACATACTCTCATACACGTTACCTGTGAGCCAGCAGCGAACTGCCTGGAAAGGTTGAGCCAGGAGTCGGGGTGTAATGGATCTAAGGTGGCTCCTTTCCACTTTCATGGTCATACCATAGTCCACAAATATTACAGACACTTTATCTTCAGACAGCTCCTTCACTATAGCCCGATACCAAACTCCAATGTCTGGGGAGCAAAAAAAAAAGCACATTAAATCCCTTAAAACAGAAGGAAAATGGCAAGGCAATTCATCATCTGGTCCAAGAGTTTAGCAAAGTGTATGTTACAGCTGTCTCACCAGAAGACAATGCACAACAAGGCTCTCCCACTTTGGGCTCAAAAGGAGACGCATCTGCCTCACAATGCTTATTCAGCTCAGTCCCCAGCTCTATCAGCTGCTGACGGTCTGAAAACAGACAATATATGAAATATACTACTCAGGTGACTTGAAAAGAAGTGACCTCAAAGTATCAATACAATTAAGTGCTATGCAGAGTTGGACATCTGACATGATCATAACCTTGGTGCTGCATGGTTTCCCACAGATTTTTAAATTACTTGTATTGTTATAGGCCAGCAACAAAGAATTTAAAATGTGAAACATAGCAAATATCGCATGTGTACCTCATGGTCCTCCAAGTAGAAGAAACAACAATACCTGTAGGACTGTTGATGTGGCAGTAGAACTCCCCAGGGTTCTCCACGACATTGACTAACAGTGCCACTGTCTGGCCATCACATGAAAGATCAGCATAGGACCATACCACAGGCTCATTAACTGGAACAGGCACTGAAGGGCACATTTCAACAGCAAAAATACATCATGCCTAATTACGCTCTATGCTTTATAAGCAAGTTCTAAAATCCTCAATATGTTAATTAATTTCAAACACACCAGGTGGTTGCACAGCAGCAGCTGTCATTGTCTGTTCAGCCTGCTGGTCACTAATGGCAGTGACAGGAGAAGGAACAGCATAACCAGCAGAGATCAGCAGCTCAGCTACATCGGCCTGAGGATCACTGGACTCATCAATCATAGCCACCAAGGCCCGGCCCTCAAGAGCTCCCTGGATGTTAATGCGCAGTATTCTGTTCAATACCCTTTGCTGCAAGGCCAACAGGCAGTCCTCTGACCACCTCTCTCCAACAGGCTGTACCCCTGAAAAGGACACCGAAGACGGATACCTGAGTGCAAGACAACTTAAGACTAAAAAAAAGTGTGCATCAAAATTAGCATTTGCCAAACAAGACTTTTTGTTGTTTCAAAAGCCATTAACTGTAGAATATACTCAAAAAAAATCTGAAGAGTTTCAGGGACAAATGGAATTTTAAAGCATACATCAAGAGACCTATAAAAGTCAAAGAAAGGCAACACTGTAATAAGCATCAGTTTAATATAACTTATAAGACAACAGGGTATTTAGGGTCATTTTCATTTTTCAAAGATTCAGTGACACCACAGAATAAACAGAAAATTCACGATTTAATGGAATGCTACTCAGTCAAGAGCCATCAGAAACGCAATTAAACTGATTTTGGTAGATTTCTAATCATAAAGAATACGCTGTACAGAGCAGATACTACCTGCCAGAACACAAGGGATAGCCTGCATGGGAAGGACCAGTAGTGAAGTGCTGATAGGCCACAGGTGGTCTAAATCCACCTCCTCAGAGTTGCCGAAATCAAGGTAGACAACACAGACGCGGTTCTCTGATGAATAAGCCAGAACTTTAGCCCTGTACCATTGCTTGTCTTCTGCAAGAAACACAGAGGTCAGCGCTTAGGTTCACAAACCAGGTATCACAGTGGAATCTACCATTTTGATATTTTGAAACTTGGCTGAAATATTTACAGTTTGAAATTGTATGCATTGAGCATTAACTTGTCTAGTCACAATACTAAAAGTTTCTTTATTAGATGGCATAATGAATCTGCCTTATTCTCATCAAACACTCATCCGGAAATGTTTTAAAAATTGATATGTCGACATATACATATGTACTGCACCTGAGAACAGTGCACAGCAAATGGTGCCAGGTGCTGGTCTGAAGTTCTGCGGGGGTGGGACCTGTCTGCAGTGCTCCCTCAGCTTCAATTGCAACTCGTGAATCAGTCCTGTCAACCAAAAGCTCTCAGGATCAGCCCTTACATCCAGACAAAATCAGATTTCTCCTCATACACAGGCATTCCTTACTTTCGATTCTTAACATCAGCCAAGTTAGAGGTTCATGACAGGGTCCAAAACTTTAAGTTGAATGCACAAGAACAAATGTTACTTACTGGCATTCTCCACCTTCTGTACGATCATTTTATCAGGTGACTGAAAGTGAGTGATCACAACAAAGAATGAATCACCCACAGCCTGTGTCAGTGGCTGTGGAGGCTGAGCCCAGGAATTGTCATCCTCCCCAGTGGAAAGATGCTGAAAGTTTTCCAAGGATGCACTCATCATGGCAGCTGAGGATGGCCAAAGAGATACTGAAAATCTTCTTACAAGATTGACTATAGTGGCATTTATGAAAGATGAAAATGTTTACTCAGCTTTTTACTCAATTTATATTAGACAAGTAAAACACAGGACTGTAAAATGGTTACATTAGAGCCTTCTTTGCATGTATTCTGTTTGTCCATGGGTGTGATAAAAGAAGAACAGAACCTGACCAAACTAGAGATAGTCTGTATTGCTCCAAATGTGATAGCATCTGTATTTGCCCAGGTTATCTGTAGATTTTTGGTACGTCATTACCCTAAAGACTATTCTTGCACCTGCATATATTATAAACTGTGATGTATACTAAGTATAAGGATAATCACCTTTATTGGCCAAGTATGTTACACACAAGGAATTTGTTTCCGGTACAGAACCGATGGCAGCCATCTGCTGCGCCAACTCAACCAATGGCTCTAACCATCGGGGACAACGGGGGGTGGGGGTTCAGTGTCTTGCCCAAGGACACTTTGATATGTGGACTGCCGGCACCGAGATTTGAACCTTCAACCTTCTGGTTGGGAGACGACTGCTCTACCCACCGCACCACTGTCGCCTATTTCAAATCCCTGCTGTGTAGGCTGGTTTAAAATGAGGTGAGGTGGGCAATCAAATATGAAATTAGCTTACTTATTTCTTGCTCAGTCAGTGTTGTGTTGATAATTTTCTTTGCTGCATAACCATTCTCAATGAGCAAAGTGCTCAACTGGTTTCCTGAAAGAAACATTTAGAAAGGAACTGAGTTTAGACTTCACTTGTGGATCCCTAGTAGGAACCACACTTCACTTATCATAAAAAGATCACTTTGTTTAGCATCATTAATCTTCATACAACCTACCCATGGAAAGCAGGATATCCACAGCATGAACGCGACCATTCTCTGCCATTTCCACCAGCCTTACAGTCACAGTCTTACCGGCCAACAGCTGTCTCACTGCAATACAGCACTTGCCCGACCACTTGCCAGCCACTGGCACCACTCCAGCAATACAGCACTCCACTGCCTGGAATCAACAAATTTAAGTGCTAGTGCCAGCTAGCTACAAACAGTCATAGTCAATTGTAATGTAGTGAAAAATTATGCCCTTAACGGTTGTTAGTGCATTATTTACATTCATGGAACAAGAATACATTTTGGTGCCAATCAATGCCACAAAAATACAAATAGTCTAAGCGGTGTTAATATGCACTCACACATGGACAAAATGGCTTGATATTAGTCAGGGGCCTGATCCTGTTCACTGGGACATCCTCTTCATTGCCAAAGTCAATGTAAAGGATATTAGCCATCTTCTGGTCAGCAGCAAAGGTCTGGACCAGGCCTCTGTACCACTTCTACAGATAAAAAATAAAGGCAAACAACCAAAAAGACTCACCCAATGTGCATACTAAAACCTGTGCCTCTAGTCAAATGTTGCTTGAGAAGGCCTCTGCTCACCAGATCACAGGAGTACTGTACTCCACAAACCTCACCGACACAAGGTACATATGTCATCACTGAGGGGCAGCTGTATGTTTTCTGCAGCTCTGCGCTGATGCTTTGCAGAGCTTCCAAGACCTCAGGGCTTTGGACAAGGATGAAAAACCTGCTAGGACTGTAGAACTCTAAAACCGATGCCTGAAAAACCACACACAATTGCAACAAACAAATAATGTAGCTTGATATTTGTTAACAGTGGCTAGATCAGTCTATACAGTTTAGACAAGCTGGGTTTGTTGTACCTGGATGCCTGTTCTCGTAATGATTTTAGTCATATCCAAGTCCTTCAAATAGACCCTCGGTGGGGTGGATGGGTCACCCTGCTTGATTAAACAGGAGTAAAACAAAGAATATGACCACTGCTCTTTTACACAATGTTAAATCAAGCAATTGCAGAGCTTACTGGCATTACAAGATCATCAAAGCAATGCAATTACCTTCAAGAGCTCAGCTCTTTCTCCTGTCAATGTGGTTTCATTTGGTTTCTCTCTTTCGATTGAGGAAAAAATGTACATTATTTAATGGACATTATATACTGTTTCAAGTCTTTACTAGTTAAATGTAAACTGACTGGCTTTTGTTAGTATCAAAAATAACAGCTGGCACTCAGGGCTGACCCAACTTACTTTGCAGGTTCTGGATCAATGGCTTTGCACACATGTCTGTGTTCCTTCCAGTCTTCTGTTTGACACACCACAGAGCAGTAAGGCATTTTCTTGCAGCGCTTGCACCGGAAATTCCCTGTCAGTGAACACCAGTAATTTTGAGTTTACTAAAATGTTGACAAACACAAAGAACCATGACAAAATGTATGCACTCTTTTCTTAATTGTACAGTAGAAGTGTTGTAAAGCTGTGGTAAATACTGTAGTTAATTTGCCTCCATCACTAACAAACCCATAACCCATTTGTGCATAATCATCATCCTCCATTAGCCCTTTCACATCAATACACACAAAGCACCAGAGACATCTTGCCACTGTTGAACACAACATAAAGGTTTTTTTTTCCACCCTTGCATAACTTTGTCAGGATTATATCTTCGGTGGGCATTTATAAATTCTGTTACATAAACTCAGTTGTCTTATATGTATAACAATTGTTGGATTAATGTTGTGCATTATGTGCAAAATACAGTACCACAAAAATAAAGTCAGCAATGCCAAAATGTCAATTAACATGGGCAAAACCAGCTTAATAAACATGACTGGCCACTAATAAACACAGAGCCAAACAATACTGAGGTACCCTACTAATGTCCCACAGACCTGTGAGATGTTTTGCCACTTAGGGCCAGTAACAGTTTATTAATAGAACAAATTCACCTAGAAATGACATTTTAATTGTAATGAAAACTTGTACCACTGGCACTTGACAGTAGGGCTGCAGAAAACACCCATTTGAACTGTATTATTACCTTGCTGACCACAGAACTTGCACAAGTATACATTCAGTACTGGTGGCATGAATCCGACCACCTGTGAAGGCAGACAAAAGTGCAAAGAACTTTTAATTCTAATAGGGCACATTAACTGATGATGAAGAAATGCAACTTAGACGCTTACCGCAGAGTTATCCCTGCTTAATGGGGAATGAACAGGATCTGCAAAAAAGAAAAGGGGGTATTTTGCAGCTAATATTGCCACCTTCACGAATTAATATGTTATTGCTGTTCTGTAACTGTTTAGAACGGGTATTCCATGCAAGCATGAGTCCGATAAAGGTGGCACAATCTACCTTGCACCATGGTGCCTGACGAGGAACGCATGACTGTTGCATTGACTGCGACATGTCTCGTAGAAGGCTTCGCGGTGGGAAAAGCCACGGGGCTCGATGATGGTTTCCTCAAGGGCAGATTAGGTCGAACAAAATAAATAAAATATACTTGAAGTCATTTTATTTTGATATGATGTGAGCATGAAAACAATAAAAAGTTTAATTTATCCTTGAAAACCATAGCGTATTTTAGGCTAGCTAATCAACGGTGAAACGGCTAGCTAGCTACTTTAGACAGTGATCGACAATTTGACTCGCAAACCATTAGAAAAACAAATACAAACAATGGCAACGTCATATGTAAATAATGCTACAATACATATAACAATTAAATTCACAAAAAACGAATATATACACTATAATGTTTTATGTCTTACCTAAGTGCGTATGTTCGTTAGTAGTAGAAGTAAAAGTGCTGCACATGCGCAGTTGCATTGCCGAAAGGCCAGGTGCAATTAATTATAAAGTAGGCTATTTCTGTATCAAGAAGAAATACACTGGGTCTCCAAAACAGCAGCTTTAGAACTAAACTAAACTAAAAGTAAACAGCTTTGAAACATATAAACCAAGCCAACCTTGATTATAGACTATATGGAACAGAAACATTTATTATAGCCTATTAAAAAGCTGAAATGGGTTTTATATATATAAAGCAGGAGGGTTACTACCATTGATACTGATTGCATGAATGGTACCCTTAAAATCAACTGGCTAAGATCTTTCCAACAATTTTTGGTTTCCAATTCCAAGCTACATTTTCAGAAATTTGGTGGCATTAATATCCCCCTCAGAGCTGACTTTGACTTAAAGCGATTACTTACCTGTCAAACTATGGCCATTCCATCAGCAAGTATTAATGTAGTGGAAGTTAATTTACAAACGCAACTTGGAATAGAACTGTATATAGCTGTTAAAAACAAATCACTGAAATGGATGGAAAAGGGAATCTGTTCTGTATCACATCTTCTAGATGACACAGGTTTATTTATGTCATACTGACTTTTGTATGAAATATGAATATATTTTACTGCTGTACTATCAATACCAATCCACAGCCTGTGATCACGATGATCAATTCATTAGAAAACTCTTCAGACATGACTCCTTTGGTTGATGGTCATGATAACCAATCAATGACCACAAACTCCCAAACTCCTTTATCCAGCAACTCTTTGTTAATGCTTTATATCCGCATAATCCAAATGTACTCTCAAATACAAGCAGTTCTTGAACTTCCAGTTTCTCCAAGACCGATGGAAATACATTTGAACACTCTGTCAGGCTTATCCATTGATATATAGTCAATGGGTGTACCTGTCGTACGTCAACGTACAACCTACGTCATTTTTTACCGGCCTCTCATTGGTTTATGTCACCTCATCGTTTCTCCCTCAGTGGCCATATTTGTTGATGTGTCATATCAAAAAGACTTGTGGGGCTATCAGCGGACAGGCAGCAAGATCACAGTTGACTCTTATCCCTATTGCTTCCGTGTTAAACTACACAATGGGTTTTTCACATTCGGTGGGTAAAAATATAACCATCTCTATTAATATTTGCTTGTCATTTACATTAGATTGTAGGGTTACCTACATAAACTAAAGTGTGATCTGGCTGTACTCGCAGCTTGCTAACGCCTCTTTTATCAACGTTAGCTTAGCTAGCGAAAGTAAGCAGTAATACAGTATGTTAATCTCAAGTTGAGCGTTAAATGTGCTTGGACCATTTATTATTAACTTGCTGTGTTGAACGTGTGTTTTGCGTAAGGTAATGTGTTTTCTTAATGCACTGTCGTGGCTAACTAAACGGCTAGCAAGCCACACTTAGCACATGTAGTGTCAAAGGAACCGAAATGTTAATAAAACGATAGTAAACACAAATATCACATCGGCCTGCTGTTCTCTAACTACACAGGCAACAGTCCGATGCATGGATACCTAAAGGGTATGTTTTTAATAAGACTAGTTACTGACATTGCCTTTTTGTCTGTGCTATCGGATGACACCTGTCACAAGAGCATCAGCATTAGCTGTTGTGGCTTTATTGCTTAACAGGAGAAGAAGCTGGGTATTACTTTATGAAATTATTGCTAGGCTTAAAAATGTAATATCCATTTGTAGATTAGGGCAGATGGACGACGACTGTAATTAAAATGGAGAAGGTGGTATTGAAAGAGGGAGAAAAATGGTGCAGGGTTTTTTTTGTTTTTTTTTGCATCAGGAAACATGGTGTAACAGAAGAATGTGCCTCAGCCACTACATATCATCTTTCAGACAATAACAAAACTGAAGTCAATTATTGGTCAGTCCCTGCCTTTTTAGACTGACATTATTATCTGATCATCCTGCGTTTGTTTTACCATGATTTCTGAATGGATAGGTAATACATTTTGAAAATAAATGCAGTGAGGCTGTGTAATAATCTTGAATATTTATTATAGTTGTATGACGTTGTGCGCCACAGGCCTGCAGGTGTAACTATGTCAAGGGTGTTGACAGGACCGCACCTCCTACTGTGTGTCAAAGCGAGTGAATGTGTGTTTCTGTTGGGCATGTCTTGGGTTCTTTTTTTGGTGACAGATAGATTTACCAGAGAAATAATATGAGGAAATATGAAGATTTTTGTCAGGTTTTGTCCTGCCTCAACATAAAGCCAACACTGTACCAAAAGGAAGGCAGAACATGCAAAAAGCATAAGACTGCTGTATTGATGACAGGAATTCTAAGCTGTTGCTGTAAAAACTGTTTTCACACAATGTATGAAAACCCTAATACTTTTTTATCAGTCTGCTCACACTCAGTCTCCCTCTCTTACTGCCAGATTTGAAATTGAGACAGACCATTGAACAGCCGGGTCCTGCTTCAGATTCAAACACGATGGAAGGATCAGAGGTTGAATCTGTGACTGAAGGACCTCTCCCTGTGAACCAACTCCACAACAGCACATCCAGTGTAGAAAATGAGGAGCATGTCTCTCACAAAGATGAAGCACAGCTTGACAGTGCATTAATCAAGAATATGACAAATGTTGAGACGGACTCAAAGACAAAGCTAGAAACTCAAACATGCAGTCAGGAACAGGTAGAGGGGAGTGAGCTGGATGCCCATACTGGCTGTGAAAGAAGTACAGTTTCTATTGAAGACGGGATTCCTTCTTATGGGGCCCCCCAGCCACTACTTTGGATGATGTGGTAGAATGCTCTGGTTTTGTTCTTGAAAAGAATATAGAAACATTATTGACTTTTGATGAAATGAAGGATTCCCATGCCACCACTCCAAACAGCAATGAGCATCCATCAGTTATAGTATCAAATTGTTCCACAGAACCTTCTCCTGCTGATGATGATGGTGGTTCAGCTGAGAATCCATCATCCTCTTCTGTCCAAAGTGCTTTCAAAAACTCCTCTACAGACTCAGCAACCACCTCTGGGATCTCTAATGGCCCTTCTACCCCCAACTCTGACACTGTCAGCTCCTCGCCTGCTTCCAGCCCACAGACCAGTGCCACCACCTCAGATCCCTTCCCCTTACATTCGTCATCAAGCCCGTTTGACACTGATTGTAGCCGAAAGTTAATTTCCCAGATCCAGCGTTCAGTGTCGCAGGAGTCACTGCTGGATGAGCTGGAGTCAGAGCTGTTGGCTTGTCAGCTGTCTGAAGGTCAAAGTGGCGAGATGAAGGGGAGCTCACCTGTCAATGGACTCCCCACAGACATGGTGGTCTTTGAGAAGTGTGTTCAATACAAGTATGCACAGCAGGAGAAAGCTATTCAGAGGTAAACCTCTGTTTAATGAGTTAAAATTGATGCACTGTCAGAGATTAATCCATGTCTCTGGTTTATCTGTTGCTCATAGTAGATTATGATGTGCTAGGCCACCTTCATCACATAATTTTAAATATTATTGGTATGGTACATTGCTTCGATTGTAATGGGGTCAGTTTAGCAGGAGATTAACCTAATTGTTATTGTTTTTCATTTTCTTTCACCTTACTCGAATCAAATCTGCTAATGAAGTCTACACAGTAGAATAATTATTTCAAAGCCTTAGTAGTGCTTTGTGCAGTAAGGACACCCTTTGGCTGATTGACACAGAGAATAACCCACATATTTTTTATCCTGCTCTGTTTTCTGGCCTTAATGTTCAGCAGTCTAAATTCTTAAGTATTTTTATGTCGACCTGGTCTGAATTGTTATTGTGTGCCTGTGTGTTTGTGGTTCCAATGTGTGTATAGGTTGCTTGAGGAGAACAAGAGACACCAGGAGCTGATCTTGGGTATCTGTTCAGAGAAAGACAACATGAGGGATGAACTGAAAAAGAGGGCAGAGACAGAAAAGCAACACATGGCCACCATTAAAAAGGTTAGTTTCATTCTCTGTGGTCTGTTTGTGTTGTTCATTGTCATATGGCACTGACTGTTTGAAACACAGGTATAGTAGATGTCTCAATCTGTCTCTCAGTCTAAAACAAGTATATTCTAAAAATAATGTGCTGTATCCATCACTGCAGCAGTATGCCTCTTCAAGATATTTGTTAATAGATTTTTGAAAACTGTGAAAGCCTATTTATCTTGTGTTTTTCATCAATAAAGAAGTGCTCTGCTGCAGTGGTTTTTTTCAATATACTGTTTAGTGTTAGAGGTTGTTATGACAGTATGAAAATAGAGGCTTATAACTGCAGTTTACAGTAGCCATAAAAAAATCATTCAAATGCTGGTGGCTTGTTAGATTATTGGGTTTGACCAGGTCAGCTACTTTTCCTTTTTTGCCAATGTGAATACGATATTTTCTCATCCACAATACAGAAATTACTCATGAAATGAATTTGTTTTTTGATTTGACTAAAATAAAATTATACTTGAATACCTACAGTATATATATTTTAGTCTATGATGACTGTTGACAATGAGAGGACAAACCAGATGCAGATGACAAATTCCATGTAGAAGCCCTGGTCACGCTGACAATTCAATTAAGTCTGTATAGCTGGTAATTAAGGAAGTCAAACAAAGCAGCCTTTTGAGGAGGGGAAAAAAAGGACAGAGTCCTGATTACTAGCATTCAACCAGCCACATCAGAGACTATATTCATCCATGTGAAGTTTGTGAGTTTTTAAATGCCTTTTATCATTTGTGTGTTCCTGATTTAAAAAGCTTACCATCACATGCCAAAACACAAGCACTTCTTTACTGATCGAGTCTAGTGTAGCATTGCTGTTGTCATAGAATGTTCAGTAGTCGATTCATGCTTTTTTTGGTAACAGCAGTTGTTATGCATTGTGCAAGCAAAAGGGTGAAAGATTTTTTTTTTTTCTAGCATACATCCAGGGTATGTGTGGATTCAGTAGGTGTAGGTTTAAATGTTAAATGTCTATTAATGGTCATTTTACTTGTAAAAGTCTATACTCTGAAACATTTTCCACTGGTCATATATCATATATAGCTAGTTTAATCGTATCTTTCTAGAGACTAATTTTAAGACTAAGTGTTCTTTCTGGCTTTTGACTCTTTACCTGACTCCAAAGGAGAGCTGCACAAGAATTCCTATATGCCTAGACTGTCTGTTTATGCATAAAGGGCAAATCAAAAATCTTGAATCCTTGAATCCAGAGACATTTCTTTTATTACAGTAAAAGTATCTGATCTGAAGGAATAGGACAATACCGGCTGCTGTCCACAGTTATTTTGCCTCCAGTATTTTGTGTCAGGTGTCATCCTCTCCAGCACATTATCCTGGGTTGGCCCAGGCTTACATGTTGCTAAACCCGTGTACACCCTGTTTTTGCAGTTGGAGGGCAAGGTGGAGGAGCTGCTGAAAGAACTGAGGGAGTCGTGGGATAAATTACTTCACCAGGACCAGGCATCAAAGGCTGCTCTCCAGCTGATGCAGAAAGAGATGGCCTACCGGTTAGAACAGGTATAACTGGGAGCTAAATACACTGAGACTACTTAATAAGCCGGCCACACGGCATAGTTTTGCCCCAGTCTGACCCTTATTTACATGTCTGGTCTTGTTCTGTTTTTGGTTTCAACAGTATCTTTATTTTGCTATGATAAGGCAGAGTTCGTCACTTAAATCACAATGTTTGACTTTTAAAAATGATCATCATACCCATTCCAAGGGAGGGTTGTGTTTTGTTTTTCCGATTTATATGGACTATTGTAGAAAATCACAATTCTGTATTGATTAAATGTAAAGATTCTAGCATTAATCCTGTTCTGGCAAATTGACAAAAAAGACTAGAGATGGCTAAATCTAAAGTCAAGGTGATGAAGATTGTATGAGCTCGACAAAATGCAAACCATGCAGTTTAGGGGATATACTTTTGACATAGGATGGCGTGGGATGCTCACTGTTAGTGTTATTGATGTATTGACATGAGCTCCGGGTTACAGCTCCTGTGGTCAGAGAGGTCAGAGTGAGCCATCAGCTTGTCAGAGAGAGAGAGATAGACAGCAGAAACCTCAGACAATTAATGAAGACATTTCAAAACACAGCACAGCACTCAACACTCTTAATCATCCACAACATCAGTAAAGTGTCTATGTATATCCTGTACACTTTACAAGAAAGTGGATTTTCAATGTTTAATTAATGAAGAGTTCTGGGACAAGGATCAGTGCTCGATCTGAGATACGATACAGATGTTACATTCACTTGGAGGTTTTTATATGCTGTGTTGTGGTATAATACAGTATATTTGCTGCATCATTTTCTGACACACTACAGGCTGAGTATCTCCATCTACAGTATCTGTAGTATCTGTAAACTGAGGTAATACCTGTGCATCAGTATGTCACTGCCAGTGAGTAACTTGTACCGCCTTACATAAGGAAATGTGTTCATCTTGCTATAGTAAAGCTGAAATACACTAAGCTAAGGTCACTCCCAACTGGCTAAAAAAAACATTGGTTTTGCCACACACTGTATCCCATCTATCTTTGCAAACATTTGCACAAAACTGGCAGCTGAATGGTCATGGTCTGTGCACCACAACCTCTTATTGCAGCTTTAAGCATTTGTTAAGTGAATACTGCACGAAAGCACATTTTCATTCAATCGTTAGCACACCTGGTTGAAATGTGAATGGGGCTTTTTCCGTGGCAGTTTTGTCACACTTTATGGTTTTTAATTTCACTGTTCAGTGAACATACGAGGTAGAATTTGCTCTCAGTCATCTCTTTTAAGCCCTTTCCTTGTAACAGTCCCACCTTGTGTTAAGATGGTGACCCAGTCTTGATCAGCTGTTACCAAGCCAAGATGTTTGAAACAGCCATCCAATCTCTATACCACTTATCCTGAAGAGGGTCACTGGTGGGCTGGAGCCAATCCCAGCTGGCACAGGGTGAGAGGTGGGGTGCACCCTGGACAGGTCGTCAGTCTATCACAGGGCTGATACTTAGAGACAGACAACCCCAAACACCCACGCTCACTCCTACGAGCAATTTAGAGTCTGCTTAGTCATGTTATAAGTGTGGGAAATTGATGTAAACCTGTCTCATGTTATAAACAACCATGTCAGGCGAACAAGAAATGTGATGAGGCACGCCAAGAGAAGGAGACCATGGTGATGAAATATGTGCGGGGAGAGAAAGAGGCCCTCGACCTGAGACGGGATAAGGAGAGTATAGAGAAGAGGCTGAGGGAAGCCACCAAGGAGGTCGACCGCCAGGCCCATCGAGGAAACCAACTGGCTCAGGAGAAAGGTCGGCTGCAGCAGTTATATGATGTCAAGGTAAATGCTCTTGCTATAGGTGGTTTCTTATAGCAATGTTACTTTGAAAACTATTTGTATACTTAATATATCTAAAGACTAGGAGTGCATGATTATGGAAAAGAATTGGGACATGATGTGGTCAGTATTGAGATCACAACTCTTTAATACGATTAGTCATTGACTTTAAAAAAAATCATGCAGTTATTAACTTGTATTTATTTTTTTTTTAAGAGTGGGTTTTCTTGAACTTTAAATATGATTCAACTGAAAAACCAATTGGTCTCACCATGACACCGCCACATCCATCTCTCTCTCATTTAACAGTAATTCTGCAGTCATCTTTCATTTTAGCTTGTTCATAACAATTAGGTTTTAGCTTAACAAGATTTCTATGGTTAACACAAACTGACAGTGGATGACAGGCTATGGGCAAAGCCTCTCTGCAAATTTATGCTCATTTAGTAGCCGTTTTGATAAATCTCTTATTGACGTTTTACTTGCAGAGGTCTTACACATGGAACTTGCTTTGCTTTGTTTACATATTTGTGAATTATAAGAAGAACATCAAGACAAGCCCCTTAGCTCATCCAGAGCGCCCTTTGCTGTCCTGTCCTCAGATATTGTTCCTGTTTCTGTCATTTCTCTCTGTTCCCAGGAAGGTGAGGTTAGCAGGTTGTCTCGAGAGGTAGAGAAGTTGAAGGAGGAGATCAACTCGCATCTTATCAAGGTCAAATGGGCCCAGAACAAACTAAAGAGTGAGGCGGATGCACACAAGGTAATGGACCTGTGCTAGTTCTGTATTTATTTTGTGTTATACCTGTTACTTATTGAGCGGTCATGTTGAGTTTAAGCACGACTGTAGTCGAACAAGATGTAACAATTCACAACCCAAATGTACTTTGTGTAATAAAGGATATATTTTATAATAAGATAATAAGAAAAACATGTTTTATACTGGCTTTGCTTTGAAGTGAAATGCCTTTTTAGTCATAATTACAAAAGTATGTTTATATTTATGTGTGGGCAGGAAACTAAAGACAAACTCAGAGAGACCACGTCCAAACTGGCCCAGGCCAAAGAAGAGACCGAACAGATCCGCAAGAACTGTCAGGACATGATCCGAACATACCAGGTCTGTGATATTTATCACATGGAAGTATTAGTTTGCTCATGGCCAAGGGTGTATGCAAACAAAGAACATCTGTTCCAGAATCATGCCGCATGTCTCTGGAAGGGATGTTGATACTGATGCCTTTGTATGCTTCGCTCTTCATTAAGGGCTGCCATCAGTTAGCCTACTCTCAAACATGAGACGACAAGTTGTTCAGCTGTATCACATACTTAAACTTACATGGATGATACTGTTTGCATGTCATGTGTGTGTGTGTGTATAGAAAAATATGAAAAGATGTACAGCTGAACAGGATTGAGTCTGTTTCAGGAGAAGGCAGTTTTCATTTGTACCTTATGATGGTAGTAAAGAGCTGCCTAGGTTTTCTCAGTGTACTGTAAAGATTCATTTGAGCTACTGTGCTGAACATATACCAGCGGTGTGTTATTAGAGCATACACGAACTCATGATGTTACGACCTGATTCTATTCAACGGTTCGTTATTAGGAACAACGGGATCCGAGTCCTACTACAGAGCTGATCATTTTATCTTTGTGCCCAAATTTCACTGCTTGTGTTCTAAATTTACTTCACTAGGAGAGAGACAGAGCAGCGATGGTAAAGCAAGTTAGAGAGTAGATGAAGAGAGGGAGTGGTGCTAGCAAAACAAAGAACGGGAATGAATAAAAGAATAAAAGATATTTTCTGATTGTTGCATGGCATTTACTTTCTAGAGCGCAAATACACATGGCCACAGCCCTGCGGTAAGGATTTTAGGTGGCCTCTCTGCCCTGAACCTTGGGTGTGCAGCTTAGCCCCACCCTCAGTCAAACAGACAGATACACAGACCTGAAGCTGGATGCACTTTAGCAGTCAGATTACACCATAGACATGGTTTTAAAAAGGGAGGAAAAGGAATGATGAACTGTTATTTTGAACAGCTTTATGAAAGGAATGAAGCCATAAGATCTGGCTCCTCTCAAAGAGCTGCTCCCATTACTAACACAAACAATGGTGCGAGCATGTAACAGACCAAGACATCTAGTAAATTATAAATTATATTCTACAGCTACTGAGACCAGTAAAGCAGTTGAACTAAAACCAGAATTACTTAATGGTCTTTTTCCATCAGCGTGGGTCAGGCCGCTTTAATTAAGCTGAGCCGGACGGGCACGGGTTGGCCTCTGTTTCATCTGTCCCTAGCAGAAGAGAGTAATCATGCTGACTTGGGCTCAGCCGGCCCTGCTCCTGCCTGGGGCCGAGCTCCACCGTCAACAGAACTGGCTCATCGAGATGTGATTGGCTAAAATGTTGCTTACACCTTCAACAGTCACTTTTTATCTGGACACAGTCTGTTTGAACTCCTCCCCTCTGGACGGCGTTACAGGTCACTGAGCGCCAAGACAACCAGGCACAGGGACAGTTTCTTCCCCCAGGCCGTCACTCTGATTAACACTTAACCAACGACAGTATGACTGGACAATAACCCTCAGTGCAATGTCTGTAAATATACAGATTCATACAGGTCTCTATTTTTAAGTACTCTATTTTTATTCCTACTTATCCCATTTCACAATGAGCATTCCTTTGTCTGTCTGCATTGTTTACTGCCTATTTTGCATTGTTTGCACTATTTGTTGCTTGTAAATACTGCTTATTTTGTTATATTACACAGCCTTATGCTGGTTTGGTGTTTACTTGCCCCTTGCATGGGGATATGTACATGCACGTTGAGAGCCAATGTACCAGAGTCAAATTCCTTGTGTGTCCGACACACCTGGCCAATAAAGCTGATTCAGATTCTGTTATTTCATTGTAGCATAATTTAAAAATGGAGACTCTCACTTCTGATGAGGGATTAAAGTAATGCCTGGCACTGATGTTGTAAGCTAGTAACACCACACCAACACCATGAGTCATGTGTGGCTTCTCAGCAGCTCGCACCGCCCCCACATGATCAGGATGCCGAAGATAAGCAATGCGTTTTACGGTGCAGTAGAAACACAGCCACGCTGACTCGGGAGCAGCTCAGACTGTCCCGCTACACACACCTCGACTTGGCCGCACTGACCCGTACTGATGGAAAAACATGAATACTAGGTTCGTGCAACCATGAAAACTAGGTTCAGGTGTTTCACTGTGATTATCAGTTTCTTCCCCTTGCCTGTGTTTTATCCTCCAGAAACCTCTCTTTCTTTCAAGCTACAGTAACCTTTATGTCAGCCCCTCTTTCCCCCTCTTGTTTCAGCTGTTTCATTCCCCTGTTCTCAGTCTGCTTTTCACCTTACTTTTTAATCTCTTCCCTCTCTGTCCTCCAGGAATCAGAGGAGCTCAGATCCAACGAGCTGGATGCTAAATTGAAGGAGACCAAAGGAGAGCTGGAGAAACACAAGCAGGAACAAACAGACCAATTAGAGGTGACTCCCACTGTGCACACGTACAAACGCTTGCTCACATACATGTATGAATTCGAATACCCACTTTCTCATGCAAACAGAGCCTAACGTTTTGTCACATCCACAGTGTATAGCTAAGTGACAATGCTTACTTCATGTCTGCAGACAAACTTGCTTCTGTTTGTACCTACTGTATGTAAAAATCCACAAGAATTATAAAATAAACACTAATGCAGGTTTACTTTTAATTACTATACACTGTGTTCCAGCAGGCTGCTGTTCATCCTCTTATTGGTGGTCTTGATGCCAGCTCTTCAACAAAAAAAATATTTTCAGCTCTTTTCATCAATTTGAAATGTGTAATTACCTTAACTAGAAGTAAATTAACAAGCTGGCTGCGCAGACACACACACGACCAGACATGGACTTAATCCAAACACAATGGCTTGTTTTTTTCTCTGTCCCATCTTAAAGGGAATTGCACTTTAAAAAAAATAAATGACCTAGAAATAATCAATATGAAGATGTGCATGTCAACAAGAATCCAGAAGAAGAACCCACCCATTTCTTGCAGTCATTCCACAGTCCGGTTTGTCTCTCCATGGTGTTTACATGGGGAGTTTTGATATGTGAACTACATTTTACAATTTTCAGGCCTGAAAAGTAGTTAAATTGCATTAAATTAGAATTTTGATAGATTCATTTTAGCTGAAAGGTTTAATTTGTTCAATTTTTTTTTGTATTTGCCAGTCCTAGTGTCAGACAGCATGTTATCCAATAACATTCCCCAATTTTAATATAGAGTATGTTGTAGGCACCTCACTGATTATTTGTATAAATAGTTTTTAGAACAGGTTTTACTATGTAAGACCTCAGTTTTAACAAATATTACTGATGCATAAATTAGTCTAAGCCTATGCTTGGTTTACTATGTGTGTCATGCTCAAATGATGTTGCAGCTCAGACATAAATAATGCAGACCCATCCGTTGAGTTTCCATTACTATGTAGGTGTTAACATTAAAATGGGATGGGAAGGGACAAACAGATTGTAAATTTGCTGGCATCTTCGTTATTGGCGTGTTATCGTGGATACCACGGGCTACTAATGGCTTCTTGGAAAAACTGAGTAGCAGTAGCACTGTACCTTTGATGGCTTTGCTTCTACGTGCTTAATGAGTGCATAAGCAAAATAACCTCAATTAATGCAGCACTTGGATTGCCCAGAAATGCATTTGCAATGCAAATTATGCTATTGTAAGATGGGTTTTTTTCATAAAGAAATGCAGTGTGATTGAGCCTTAAGCTGATGTTTAAAACCACTGAGCTGATTGGGTAACCTGTATTAAGCCTTAGTAATCGCAGTTGGAAGAACATTTTTAGCATTAGGTATCCTTTTTATAAACAGGATTCACAGACAGAAAGAGCTCAAATGAGCAGACTCCCAAGTAAAACACATAACAGCAGATACATATCTAATGTGGAACTTTATCTGGCAGGTACACCGAGTGAAGGCCAAAGAGCTGGAAGACCTGAAGAGGAGTTACAAAGATGGCATGGATGAACTCAACACTCTACGCACCAAGGTGTGCCAGACAGATAAGTGTTTGAACACCTGAGTGAGCACATGATATCAGCAGGACTTCAGTTTCCTAAGTGTGTGTTGTTATGTAGTTAAAGTGTCTAGAGGATGAGCGTCCTCGCTGGGAGGACGAGCTGACCAAGTACAGGGAGATTATCAACCGGCAGAAAGCTGAGATCGGCCAACAGAGAGAAAAGCTGGAAGAGATCACAGCACTCCAGGAGCAGCATCAGCGGTACAAACATGCTCTCTCATACTGATCATACTGTACTGAAAGTAAAAGCTCAGGCATGTGCACCCAGCAGCAGTAAATGTAATGGTAAGCACTAGCACACACTGAAGAGAAACATCAGAAATACACATGATAGGACAGTACTGGCTGTTCATCAATTGAAGGAAATGACTAAACAACTATAAACTCACATGGTAACACAAAGAGAAGCAAAAGCTTTTTATGACCACTCACAAATGATGAGAATGATGTCACGCAACAACGGTGCATGTCATGGTCAGGAATATATCACACAGTAAGGGAAGAAATGTTCGTTGTTGTGGTCAGTGTGTTGGATGCAGGAGAAAAGGCCAGGGTTAAAGTTCTCCATGACTTCCACAAAGGCCAAAACAGCACAGCTTGTTGGTCTCTCCTGCTTGGTTCAAACTCACAGAAAGGCCACTGTGGCACAAGTAGAAATAAATTCAAATGATGGCTATGGGAGGAATTGGAGTTCCCGTGTTGGCACGTTAACATTGATGGATGGCCTTGGATGTTGTGTTTTGTTCTAAGCTGTTGCCTTGTTACAACCTCATCTTTTTGAGCTTTTTTCAGAAGGTGAACACCTTTAAATGTGCAACAGCTTAGAAATGTTAAGGGAACTGTTGTTTTCTGCAGCCAGTGACAGTCCAGAAATATGGCAGACAAGTTAGGCTAGCAAATAAATTGTAATCCTGTAGCTGTTCTGACATTTTAATGTTTTTGTTACTCGTTGTACAAGTGAGGTGATGCAAATATGAATAAATTCTGTAGGCTACAAAAAAAAACCCCACAAGTGCATTTTAAAGTGATCGATTGCATCTCACAGTACTGGAATACATGTCAGAAAGTCGTTTTTAAAACAGCAGTGTCCTGTGACTGTAAGCTGAAAGGACAGACAGTGATATATATTGAGGGCTTTAGACTTTAAGAAAATAAAAATGAATTTAAGCGTTAAGTGGAAGTATCATTACATGGTGTCAGAATGAGCAACTTTTTAATTGTTGTTTGAGATGTGTCATGCTTAAACAAATACAGCCATGCGTGGTGTAGGTGCACGCCACTTTCAGATCTTGAATTGTGCAGCTGTATCACCATTCATTCTGTTCTGATTGAACTGTGAAGGATGTAATATTCTAGAGTTCTTGTCTCTTTTTATTTATATACTAATTTATTTTCAAATACCTTATCAGAGCGTTTAAAGATAGGCCAGGGATAAATATAGCGCATAGGGCAGAGAAGGGCTCAGGTCCCTCTGTGGCCATGTGGAGATGACTTGATAGAGAAACTTTTCCACTTATTAAAATTCTGCTCTTGGTGTGTGCAACTGTGCCATACGTAGGTGGTGCCAACCCAAGTTGATTTATGCAAAAGCTTCTTCTTTTTCTGGATGTAATTTTGAGCAGCAGGATGTTTTTCCACCACTAGCGCCAACATCTTTAGCTGTTGGCAAGAAAAGAAATACTTTGATACCACCAATGTTTTTGGTCCACTGACAACCAGGGACGACTGTGACCTTCATCTTGACACCTCATAGCTCATCTTCGATACTTAAGTTTATACAATCACTATTATCTATAACTTCAGCTTTTGTCATTCATATGCGGGTCTGAAAAAGACCTGGTTTATTTGAATAAGGAAGGTGTTACATTGAAGTGTAGTAGTGAGAGTCAACAGTTAAACCTCATATATTCTTCATTTTTAGCACTTCTGTCCTTTTAAGTGAGTAGTTTATTAAATTTAAATTTAGTGAATTAATTTAGCATCAAAAATATCAGCATTGCCTTTTCTATACGCAGCGACAAACAGGAGATCGCATCTCTTAGCGAGGAAGTGGACAGCCTAAGCAACCAGATGGCTGACCTCCAGCGTGATGTACAAGGCAGCAGGGAGCGTGAGGGTGAGCTCCTGGGCTTCACTGAGAAGCTGAGCAGCAAGAACGCCCAGCTCCAGTCAGAGAGCAACACACTACAGTCTCAGCTGGATCAGCTCACCGGGAGTTTTTCAGAGCTCCACGCTAAGCTGGAGGAGACCAGCAGGCTTCTAGACGGCAAGGTCAGGGAACCCCGAGCGCAAAGAAAGATCCAATCTTGTCCTAATGAAGTGCAATGAACATGTGATACATTAACCCTGAGTTTAATGACTGAATACAATTCAGTGAAAATCCTGTGCAAAATCTTTGCTTATACTTAAAACAGACCACTGTTAGTCAATTTAATCAAAATCTCACATTGGAGAAAATGTGCTTTAGAGTGAATGCATTGTGCTTCTGGCATTCTTGTAATAGCTGAGTTGTCTGACCTACACAACATGCAGTGTCCCTGAATACTGATATTTTATGGCTTGACATTCTGGAGAAAATATCAAAAACTGTTGTGTGATGTTTTTTTTTTTTTCTTTTTTCAGTTCAATCACAGTTTGCCAGACAGTGAAATTTGTTTTTGGAACAAGCAGCCATTGTCACAATATCTTCCCACTCTATTGTGGCTGTTACTGCATTATTACTCTTTGCCGTCTCCATCAATTGTGCAGTCACAGCAGCTGAAACAGGGAGAGGTGCTGAGGCAGCAGGAGGTGCAGGGCCTGCAGGAGGAGCGGACTGCACTGCAGACAGAGGTGGCCCAGCTGAAAACCAGAGCTGAAGAGCTGAGGGATGAGCTGTTGACTCAGAAAAGGAAACAAGCCGCCAACATTAAGGACCTGACAAAACAACTAACACAAGGTCAGGAAACACATTGCTATTAAAGAGATGCTGCATGAACACATTTTAGGTCTAGATATGAAACAAAGTTTGTAGAACACATTTTAGGTCTAGATATGAAACAACATTTGTTCTTCTGTGCTCTAGGTTGATGTTTGTGCAGAACAAATTAGAAATGTCTGATTTTTTGGGAAAGCAGATAATGTGTCAGACTTTTTAAATAAATGATAGCCCTTCAAAGAATTAGTAGAAATTGGATTTTATTTAAACTGCAGGGATCAAAAAGGTTTACATCATCCTCGTTAATCCTCAGCCCTTTGTGTTCAAGTCATCCACGTCTCTATTCACATATTAATGTGTCTAAAACCATATCAGATCTTCCATTTCCAGTCATCTGCTTCCACTTTATTCTGATATTTATCTTTTAATATGGAGTGGCTTGGTTGAAAGATGGTCTGCGTTCAGGGTTTAATGTCAGATTAAGATGTGCAGGGGGATTTGAAACAATGGAGATGGGACTGTGACGATAGGTGTGGTGAAGCAAATGTTATTCTCATGCTAGGATTATATTTAATAGCATGAGCCAGCTTGGTTCTCTGGACACACACAAAGACCTTAAGACAAAGTTCAACAGTGCTACCTTCTATGCACTAGCATTTCACTTTTATTTGGACAGAGAGGACATTTTCTTTAGCAGTGATCATGCATTAGTTGCACAGTTGCAACTTCATAAGTACAGCATATTTATTTTTAAGCCTTTGTTTATGTACAGAAGGTTTGCTGTGAATGCAGTTTACTTCAAAAGCAACCTGGATCCCAAGCAGACATCTTTACAGAGTGAAAAGTCAGAGAGTTCAACCATACAGCGATGCTTCCAGTAGATTTGACTTTCACTGTGCCTTTTTGTGAGCACCCAAGTTACCCAAGGCTAGTTTTGGAACAGATGTTGATCGGCAGAAATTAGCCCTCTAACAGTTTTAATTATCAATTAATTAAAAGTTAAATAAAAATACAGAACATATGCTCATTATAGCTTCTAAAATGCAGGATGCTTGTGTCGATTTCATACCAGTAAACTGTCAAGAAACAGTAAGCTCTTTTTTGACACCATTTTGGGCTGTTTTAGAAGCCAGCATGAAAGTGGTCTTTAAAGGTGTTGTAAAGTTCACAATGCAGTGCAAAGAGTTGTAAACATTTGCTTCATTCATTCAATAACTTAATGTAATATTAAGCAGGTAGCAAAACCAACAATAAATTTGTTATAGCATGTATCATAACTTTGAAGTTGTGTTTAGGTTGACCTCTCCTTGACAGTTGACAGTTTTTCTTTCTTCTTCTACAGCCCGTAGGAAACTGGAGCAAGCTGAGAATGGAGGCTGTGACCGTGATGCTAGCAGTATGGGCAGTCGCTCTAGTTCTTCAGGTACTTCTCCTAGATTTGGTTAGTATTTAATACGTACAGTGGAGATATTATAAAATTAAATGTTATTGCTTTTTATTAAAGGAGACTTTTTTCTTTGGTTTATGAAAAATTAACACGTTCATTGCTAGTTTTTACCTGACTAAAGTCATTTCGTAAATAAATGTCTGTCGCGATCCCTCCCATTCCTCAGGCTCCCTGAATGCACGCCACGTTGGGAGCAGTGGTGTTGAAGAGCAGTCACCTGAGAGCCAGACAGGCCCTCCACTGGTGGTCGTGGACAGTTTCCCAGAGGTCGACAAGGCTGTGCTAGTGGAGCGCATTGTCCGTCTGCAAAAGGCCCTGGCTCGCAAGCAGGAAAAAATTGAGTTCATGGAGGATCACATCAAACAACTGGTGGAAGAGATCCGCAAAAAGACCAAGTGAGTGGCACGGACCAAAGAACAGGGAGCAGAGAAAGAGAGATGGCGAGAACCTTTTCAATTTATCTTTATCTGCTGCTATGTACAGTGCTGAATTGAATTTTTGAAAAAAAAAAAAAAATTACCATTAAATGCTGAGTATCCAGGTTTTACTGATGCAGTGAATAGTGGTATTCGCAACACTGATTGATGAATAACGTTTACAAATTGACTGACTTCCCAGCGCAAATCCTCAAAAGCCTCTGACATGTCTGACAATTGCAACTCCACATGTAATAACATCAATAGGCACTCCAGTGTGGCACAGGAGAGAGAACAGGTTGTTGCAGTTGTGTGCAAGTATTAAAATAGGAAGACATACTTAATGCAAAACTTGGTGCAAAGTGTATTTTACAGATTTGGTTTTTGTATTGCAGTTATAATGACCAGTACAAACTACTTCCATACGTCTGACCAAAATATTTTATGTACCCCATACTTCAGTTCTTGTACTGGTGCTTGACAGTACATACTTACACACACAGTTTAAAGCCTCCTACCTCCTTCTGTGTCTCTCTCTCATCCTTAGATTTTAACTCGTGCAAACTTCACTCAGAGCTATTTATACTCTGAGTCGATCGGGTGGGGAGGAATGCCTCCACAAGGATCTTTAATGGTGTTCCATCTGCATTCGTTACCCTCACCCAAACTAAAGAGACAGTGTGAAGGACATTTGGACGGTCTTAAGCACATCATCACTTCAAGTATAGTTTAGGCCTTGAAGTGGATTGTGGACACATGCCAGGCTAAAATGGGATGTGAAAATGAGTTTTTCACATAATACAATCTCAGAGCTAAAGGAACATTTCCTCTGAGTAAAATCCTGTTTGCTGAAAAGGAAAACTCAAGCCATACACAAGTTATGTATCAGATTGGCTGTTGTTGCCAGATGATATCTACAATGCTCTGAGATACAACTCTGCCTGAATCATCTTTGCTTTCCCAGTTATACACTTGGATTGATTCCATTAGCCTCAACCTATATTCAAGAGTTAAAATTGAGGACGAATCCCACGGTTGCCAGGATAAATTTAGCTCTTTAAATTCTCAGCTAAGCAGGGGGTGTTAACACTACCCAGAATGTGGATGTGAATTTGTCCTTTTCTCTTATCGGTCCCTGTCCCTCCAGGACAGCCTGGGAAACACTGATGAGTTCACTGTAAACCTGAAACCTGCGATGAATAAAGAGGCAGAGTTGTGGAAGCAGAAGCTTGCTTGGTTTCTGACAAAAAAGACGTTTTGTTGTATGATGGCAGTGTTTTTGCATCTTTTAGCTCATTTACTTCAAACGTATCATTTACTACTTATATGTATGCCCTCTGTTGTAATATATAGTATAGTGTACGTGTATAAAGTTGTGAGAAGCTACTATGAGTGCTACTGGTTCTGGAAATGAAAGTCCCATAGATTTGTTTTTCCCATATACAGCCGGAGCACTTGTACGGCTTGAACTCACATGAAACTCTCCTAGAACAATTTATACAACAAAAGATGAACAGCTGCATTGGAAAAAATCTAGTTCTTTGACTGTTGGTCAAAGGTACAAGTGTATGTACATAAAAACACAATTTGGCAACTATGGTGCTGTGTTTCGAATGTTCTGCAGCTCTGTCTTACACCTCTGACTGGCCACTTTGACATATCACTGGCGACTGAGGCTCGGAGGTACTGTAATATAATGAGCCATCCATCATACCAAACTAATGGGAAACCTATAGAATTGTTGCATTACTCAGACTCGTATGTTTTTATGTTGAGTCACATTGAAAATATTCAGAAAGTTTTTAAAATGGATATTCAAAGTGAGAGGAAAATGCTCGGCACCTTCACCCAGTTTGAAGTTTTATTACATGATAATTGTTTTTCTTTCTGTTCACCTCAGTTTGTCACAATTAGACTTGCCAGTAAACCACTGCTGTGTTTTGTGAAGCAGCATGTTCATGTGCTGCTGTCAAGTTCAAGACACCACGCTCAGTGTGTATTTGTAGTACATGGGCTAAAACATGCAGAAACAGCAGCATCATCCTGATGATAGGTCCTTCAACCTCCACACTTGGTTCTTATGACCATTCTGCCTACATGGTGCATTCAGGTGACTTTAATTAAGGTGACGCTGATGCAAAGCAGGTTTTATCTGGAGAGTGATGTAATCAATGGTACAATACTGCAAGGGTTTCTGGGACTTTTGTCCCAGTGCCAGTCAGACTTGGAGTTCTCTGATGCTTTTGAGCCAGTGGCTGATTTATTAAGATTTGATCAGAAATATGTCACTGCATTTATTGAGCACTGTACATGTTGCACTAAAAAGCCTCCAGCATGAGACTGATGCCTTTTAAATTCCCAGCTTTAGCCTGTGTAGTTCTGAATACTATTAAGATGCGACCACAGGCAGATCTTTCTTTCTTTCTCTGCATTTTCTCTTTGTCTTGCCACATTTTGGGAACAAGGTTTAGCCACCTTAACATCTAGGCTGTGTATTAGGGAGCAACAACATAACTGAGAACTGTACTATACCCACAGCTTCCACTTGCACTTCATGCATGCCCGACTTGCTGCCCTCATTGCTTACACTCTGTCAGCTGGAAAAAGGGACGTTCAAAAATAACTCATTATCTTGCCTACCTCTAAACCATTGCTCACATCCCCGCTCCCCGCTGATCTGTGCATGCCATTCAGCACATCATTCAGCCACATCTTTAATTTCTGCCACTTTTTTGTTTTTACTGAACACTGTCGTGATGGAACTGGGGTCCAAAATTGGGACCCTTGCAAGTCTAGTCAGAGGTAAGTCTCATTTCTTTTGTTGGTGCAGGCCCTGGTGTGTTTGTGTGAATGAGGACAATTTATGACCGTGTCTTCATAGTAGTGCTGTATCATTTCATTTTTTGCACCATTTGCTTTGTTATTTTGATAATTGGAAGCATTCACTGCACCATACAGATTTAGGTTTATGCAATGTATTGGACTTACTTCTGTTAAAGACAATACCAAGATAAACACTTAATCACTATCAAATAAAAGCACAAGCCAATGCTGAGCACCGGCATGAGCGCTTAAAATGTACTTATTATCATAATTCCAGGTAAAATGAAAAAATGTATTTGCATTTAAGTAGGTTTGAGACCCAAGTGTCCACACTGCTGCATAAACAGTAGTATACACATGGTAGTTAAACTATTTTATCTTGGTTTAGACCAGTATTCTGAAATGTCTAACAGAAGTCACTGGCATTTAACATTTAAGTATTCACCTCCAGTGAATCTACACTCCAGTTGTCTTCTTGAGAAGCCTCTGATAAGAGTCGTACAGCATTAGAATGTCAGGCAGTCATCTGACTCTGTAGAGAAACACTGAGTGGGAATCTTCCTGCGGAATCTCAGGTATGGTCAGGAACGTCCCTTTGCTCGAAGCTCATCCTGCAGTTACCCGCCTTCTAAAAGTCACTCTCAGACACAGCCTGAATCTGAACTAAACAATGTTAGCACAGGGCTGAATAGTGTTGATGTTTCAGGTTGATGCTGGGTTGAAAACATGTTTAAAATACTGATCACTGGCCCATCTCAAGAGATTTACAGGATGTTAAGCTTTTTTGTAAGATGATACACAGCCCTCTTCAGCTTAGTCTTAAGAGAAAACTACTGTAAAAATACAGTTGCAACAGCAAAAGATTGTAGATCTAACCCTCAAGGTATTTCTTTTATCTCTGATGATGCCTGGAGTCTGGCCCGAACATCCTCATTCATAAAAAAAAAAACCTTGTGAATGATTTTCAAACACTTCTTTTGCTTTGCTTTATTTTCCCTTGTCTTCAGTCACATATTTAAGAAAGCGATAATAATGTTGGCAGGTGGCGGTAATGAATGTGAATCACAGTGACTGCTCTCGTGGGCTATGTTTTCCTCTAAGTAGAAATAGACTCTGTTGGTGTTCTCCGTGCTGTGCTGTGGAAATTAGACAACAGGAAGTTTAAAAAAATTCTATTTTCTGATACAAACATAGCTTAAACTTGACACTATATAGGTGTTGATTGTAAAATGAATTATGAACATGAAGATTTACCTCACTTACACAGCATCCAGGTGATTAATTGAATTCTGGCATCCTTTTCTAATCTTGCAGTTTATATCATCTTTCCTTCTCATGCTGGCACAGTAAAAATCTTTCTAACTATGACTGAATGTATCCCGTGCACGTGAGTTCAATAAGCCATCCATCCATCCATCTATCCATTTTCCTCCGCTTATCCGGAACCGGGTCGCGGGGGCAGCAGTCTAAGCAAAGATGCCCAGACTTCCCTCTCTCCAGACACTTCCTCCAGCTCCTCCGGGGGAATGCCAAGGCGTTCCCAGGCCAGCCGAGAGACATAGTCCCTCCAGCGTGTCCTGGGTCTTCCCGGGGGCCTCCTCCCGGTAGGACATGCCCGGACATGCCCTTCCTAGGAAGGCGCCCAGGAGGCATCCGAAACAGATGCCCGAGCCACCTCAGCTGGCTCCTCTCGATGTGGAGGAGCAGCGGTTCTACTCTGAGCTCCTCCCGGGTGACCAAGCTCCTCACCCTATCTCTAAGGGTGCGCCTGGCCGTCCTGTGGAGGAAGCTCCTGTATCCGGGATCTTGCCCTTTCGGTCATACTGAAATTATTAATCTCTTCATATCTGCTGCTGCTGAAAACAGTTGCAGTGCTTTGTAGGAGCTCTCTATGCTCCCACCTATAAATCCCACTTCCTTTGCTCAACAGTTGGTGCTGATGACCACACATTCAATTTGTTTCTACTCATTTTAAAGCGCTCCATTTGAATCATTCCCCCCTACAGAATTATCCAGAGCTATGTGCTAAGAGAGGAGTCAGGGGCCCTCTCATCAGAGGCGTCAGACATTAACAAGGCCCACCTAAGTCGGCGGGGAGGCATCATGGCTTCGCTTTACACCTCCCACCCAGCGGACAGCGGGCTGACCCTGGATCTGTCGCTGGAGATCAACCGGAAGCTGCAGGCTGTGCTGGAGGACACACTGCTGAAGAACATTACTCTGAAGGTAATTTCTATTCCAGCAGGCATCATCCCCTATTATGGGCGGAGCCAGATGATTCTTGTATGTATGGTTTATTTTATAGAACAAAATTTAATTATTACACGTATTTCAAATGTGCCGCCCCTAACTGAGTCTGTGCACCAACCTGACCACCCCATCCAAAAATGTCTAGGTCCGCCCAGTTCTTCATAATGACTGAGCTGAATACACGTTATTGATTTTGATTATGTCTACAGTTGCTTTCGTAATTTGCAATGAATGTGGAAATGTTAAGCTTAGATGATCTGAGTGGATAATTAAGTGGCTGTGTGAGTGTTATGCTCCACACTGGGAGCCACACAGCCTGATGTGCGCAGGCGGTGCCATCACTTAAAAACATATTTAGTCAGACCTAAAAATAGAACACACTGATGAGTTCATCTCAATACACATACATTAGAAACACTATGCAACACTTCTAATTCATGCAGCTGTTATTATGGCATTCCTTTTCAGTTTATTTGCTCTTATTGCACAGATTGTGTTCCTGTTTGTAAAGGTGCATTCTGCTATTTTAAAGTTTTTTTTTTTTTTTTTAACCTTCTACCCCCACATGCAGTATTTTATTCAGCAACTTTAATCATTTTTATTGCCATCAGTGCTTATCGATGTAGCTGACTTCTTGCCCAGCCATCTGTGAAATAGTTTTTTATCTCTACTGAAACTATTTGGGCACCTTTCAACATAATGTTTTTAACCACTTTCTCTCACTGGTCTAAAACAAACGATTTCACTACTGTACATTAACTCTATCTAACCTGTATTCAAATAACCGTTGTGTTGTTTGTGCTCTATATGCTTGTAAGAATTGAAATCATTGTTTAAAACCTTGTCAGAAAACTCATTTGGATGTATTTTATCTAATTTATTTTGGTTGATGGGGTGTATTTTTTATGATTAATTCACAAAGGGCTTAAAAAAATATAACATTAAACCATCAAGTTTGCCAAAAGGAACTAGTTTTACTTGCATAAATTAGGCTGCACAACAGAAATTGCCCAGTATTTTAAAGTGATATTGTCAGTTAATGTCATCTTAAAAGTTTCACATAAACAGCAATAGTCGTGGGCACAGCAGTAGAATGGTACTCCAACAAAATGCCAGTGTAGGTGTGGATAAAAGAGTTTAGTCAGGGTAGAGGAAATGTCAGACCACCCTCTGCCTTTTGTCCAGTGACATTTGGGGTATATCTCCCGAACCTTTTAGTCAGCCACAGCATGTATCGCATTGTCTCTGTGCGGCTTTTCATTTCATTTGACAGGCTTAATCAGGTCATCTATCAACTATCTAAGTTTTTAGAGAGATGACATGATCTAATTCAGAACCTGCATTATTGATGCTGTCGCTAAGTAAGGAAACTGTGTCCCTCTGTAACTGAGATGTGTGAAATAGCTGATTTAAGCCCATATTCAGTGTTCATCCTTATTCAGCCTCTGTGCATGTGTGAGCTTTGTCTAGCTTCTGCACCTGAGGGTCTGTTTTTCCTAATTTAATTGATTCAGGATTTCAAATCAGTTTCTTGATGTTATTGTGAAATGATGCGTTCCACTTCTCAGCTCTCAGTTTACACCAGCAGACTGTCTCGAGAGGTTATTTGGCCAGATGGTACACTGTACCCATATGAAAATGTAGTGCCAGGACGGCAGCAGATTATTGCCAGCCCACGAGCTACGCACATCTCCCAGATTTAGCTTGTAACAAATTTACACCCATTTGTCCTACCTTGGCCTTAGTCTTTATGTTGGCATTTTCGGATTTGGATTTTCCCTATATTTTGGCCTTATGTAGGAGTTGAACAAGTCTAGACAACTTTAAAGATGACTTACACAGAGCAACATTAGTCCTGATTTGGAGCTGGCCACCTGACGAATCCTGATATTCATTCTCCATTTTGCTCTGTTTTGCTCTCCACCAACACCTGAGAGAAATATCTGCTGCTTGTCTACACCGCAAGCGTAGTGTGTGCAGCACATAACATCTGCTGTGCAGCTCACGAGAGGATCGCCTTTGTGTCTACACCGGGCACATGTTCACTTGCTCGTAGGGATCCCTTGGTGTACATAAAACACACAGAAGAGCCCGCAGAGACACGTATGAAAAGGAAAAACTACGGTCTACACTGTACAGTGTACCCAACCCATGGAAAAATACATCAAATGAAAACTACACACACTTTTTAAGGACTGCATGTTCATTGGACTGATGTAACAGATGATAGATCATGCGTTTACTTGATTGACCTGTTTCTCTGTTTTGGTGGAGATCTAGTTGGAACTAGTGACCTTCCATTGTTTTGGTGGAGCATGTTACACATGTAGCTGTGAGAACCCACGCAGACTCAGGGCGAACATGCAAACCCCACACAGAAAGGCCCCGGGTCAGCCCAGGCTCAAACCCAGAACCTTCTTGCTAACCACCACGCCGCTGTCCCACTGCATCTGATTCACTAGTCATATAAAAATATTAATAAGCGCAGCTTTATGTTTGTGCCTTGATAAAGGGGAAATCAATTTGTGCTGCATCTTGCTCACCGATTACTTGCTCATCCATTAGATTCCGTCTAGTTTCATCTAAATTTTCATGTGTTTACTTCAGGAAAAACTAATACCAGTGTGTTACAGTCTGTTTCCACAGTCATTGTGCAATGCATGTTTTATGAACTACAATACAACTGGCCTATTTTTCACCATTTCTGCATAATGGAAAGTGACAAATGTATCCTATCTCCATGTTGAATACAGCGGGCGAAAAACTGTTTCCAAACAGGCCTGGGGTAACACAAGGTAAACATGAAAGAAAACTAAAAATGAAAAATATTTCATTTCTAATGCACCCACATAAAAAATTCAGCGTGAAGAAGACGACTCAGAAATGTTTCTCTATCATTTCATGTATTGTCACACCCACTTTAATGTTTGTGGGCATATTAGATGCTTTAAAAAATGTTCCATCCTTTGCAAACAAGCAGCCTTCTTTTGTCTTTATATCATGTCAAACTTATCTTAAAGACACCCTACATAAAAACCTAAATGGGGACAATAATTTGTAACATGGGAGTATGTTGCTGCAGTGCCTATTCTGTCTGTGGGTGAAAGATGATTGGCAGTAATGATACAAAGCTGTGCAACATGGGTACAGTAAAATGACAATAAAATAACACATTCTAACAAAACCAAACCAAGTCTTCACAATTAGAGTATGTTTTTCATACTGCATAAGAACTGCTACCAGCGAGTGGTTTCTTCACAGTACCCTGCTCTTTTCAGCCACAAGAGACGAGAGGACAACCTTTATTATGGTAACAATAATATTATTATAGTATTATGCTTAATTTATATTAGTATTAATACAATCAGTTTCTTAACTTTTTGGACTCTTAACACTAAAGTGGTTAATTACATTTTTAAATTACTAATTTTGATCACATTTACACTTTTAAATGCTATTCTTATTCTCCAGCTTTCTTCCCTGAACATTTCCACATAGAAATAAATGGCAAAAAGCAGCTACAGCATGCCAGTCCCGCTCATGTATTATCCATTACTGTAAATACTGTGTTTGAGATTAAAAGTCTTTAATCTCTTTGACAGGAGAATCTGCAGACACTAGGGGCCGAGATCGAGAGGCTCATTAAGCAGAAGAGAGATCTTGAGGAGGGCGTTAGTAGGAAGTGACACAAACATGTCACAGGAAAGAAGAAACAAGTGGCCAAGAACTACTTGAGGAACCCCCAGCCCATCATATTTGAAGGGAATGCGAAATTTGAGCGTTGGGCGTTCTCACTTTTCCAACATATGAAGGAGCAAATTGAATGTTGTAAGTTCCAGTAGCACCTCAGGCTGCTATTTTTTGGCGACCTCAGTTTCAACTTACTTGAACTGTCATTACTCCATCTACATTGTACTGACTTTGTTTCCTCCGACACAACACATCTTCCTCTAATTACCGTCAGTCTCCCCTGAGCCTTGCCAAAAGAAAACTCTTTGGGCCAGTTTCTTCAGCCTTGACACTCCAACAGCCTTGTAAAATTAACTAACTGAAGATGCCATAATTATGAATGTACTGTATAGCAAATTCCAACTGGAAGATTGTTAAAAAATGACAAACACTGATTTGATGATGATGAATTTATCCTATTTAAAAAAGGAGTTCCCTGGTACATTGTCACTCC